AATTCTTCTCAAGAAGTCGATAAGCCGTCTTAACGTTGTTAGAACAAACATCTAATCTGAACTAGTGCTGCATTCAACATACCATGTGAAACACAAAAATTGATGTATAGCTGTTTTTTTTTATATTTACTTTTAAATTAAGAAATTAACTAACATATAATACAAAAATCTGAATTATAATCTACAATTTGATACCAAACTTATTAACATAAGTTCATAAACTAGTAGTTCAATAAAATTTTGAATGCAAGTCAACAAACATGATGACATGGCCTTTGACAAGTGAATCGTTGTGATAGGGTTAACACTAATTTTTACCATGATTTAAAAAACTAGATGATCTACTTAACAGTAAAAGATACTCCATTTCTACTTTTAAAAATTTACTAGAAATGTATGTGAGGATTGTCATTGGTAAAGGACTACCAACATATTGTGCTATATAAGTCTAATTACAAAAAAGCAACATTACATGTTTCTATTATAATTTGTATGATCTACTGAAACATTTATTCCAGCATTTCAATATTAACAATAGTAATTTTTTCCCTTCTCTTTAAAGGATCTTTTGTTCTAATAATTTGTCCTTAAAATTGTTCCTCTAATCATATTCAGTAGGTAATACGAGAAATTCATTATATCTTTCTTGAATATCAGTGATATTTGTTTAAAAAGTATTATATTTAAGAAAAGATTGCTTTGAATGAACCATTTTGCCATCAGTAATCTTATCTTGATTAAAGGCCATCAATCCACAAAAAGAAAAAAATAAATTTATCCCTTATTTATTTACAGTATATATCTACTCCACAAAATTTCAACTACATAACAAAAGTACCCAAAACTTGATCACACAAACCAGCCCACAAGTTAATATTTACAAACAAAAAAAAAATCTGGATCTAGGCTTCCAAACATCATACAGTTGTTTAAGAACTCAATTTTCTAAGGTGATGTAATGCATCAAACTCAAAGTTAGAAGTATTACAGCCCAAAAATTACCTAAATTGTTGACATCATTTATAAACAATAAAGACTCAAAAACAGACTCATGAGTGTCCTCATTAGCTGGATCCTCCAAATTAAAAAAACAACAACATATATCACAATCTGTTGTTTTTTTAGCCACAGCATAGCAGCTCATAGAATGGCTCCATGTTTTCCAAATACAAACTTTTAGCTCATAGCTCTGTCATCGATTTAAGATCTAATTAAAGTTTTGGACTGTTTTGATTGATGTATTTGACCACACCTAAGGTCTCATAGATTAATTTACTCTAATCTTGCCTAAAATAATTTTAATTTGAAGGTAGGCTGGTAGAGATCCTGAGAAGTAATAAAATCTAATCGGATATAGGTGAACCTCATGCTTGATGTTGTTGGCACACAAAAATATAGCTAATAAAAAGGAAAAAAAACCAATTTACTCTAATCCTGCCTCAAAGAATTTCAAGTGTCGTGGCTATTGAGAATTCCGTTGTTTCATCAAGAAACCAATTTCCCACCTAACTTTTCCTTAAATTTTGTAAGAATCCAACTTTCTAATTAACTTACCGTGTTGCAACTCAATCTTTCGTAACTAGAATTAATTTCACTAAAAGTTTGGAAATGAAATATGGAAGAATGTATAATAATAAATTTTTAATCTTGTGAAATATTTAATAGCTTCCTAAAAAAAATAAAAACATTTAGAACTACACAACCATATTCTCAATAAAATACTTGTACCTCTGAATTGCCCACATCATTATTTCTTGAATATAAAACAAGTGTAAAAAATATTTTAAATATTTTTATGTTATACTTATTTCATAAAATCTGAAGTAAACAGAGCTATTACAACTGAGAATTATAGCACTTTTGTGAATAAACTTGAATTTGGCAAGCACGGGTGGGATGATATACATGAAGTTTATAACTTTCATATGTTTAAATTCTGAATGATTAAAACAGAAAACGATAAAAATGTGTAGAAAAAAAATACCTGCATACAGTGAATGGCCAGACCAGGTCCTGTATATAATTTTTTGTGGCAAATATGACACTTGAAATGTTTTGCTTTTTGATGTTGAATAAGAATTTTCTCATCATCAAACTCTCTACTGCAATACCTGAAGATTCATTCAGGATAAAAACAAACAATATCATGTACTAAAATTTCTCCAACTTGACCAAGACCTACATATCTGTGACGCGAGACAATATCAATTAAAAATAAATAATATTTATCAAGGGTAAGTTATTTTCTATTGCTTTGTTACCAATTCCATTTATAAATAATATTCAGTGGGATTATGAACAAAATATATGTTAGACATTAATATGTTGAAAAGCAATTGAAAACAGCATAAATGTTTACTAAAAAAATTATTCCTGATTTATTAATTGAGAATTTCCCTAAACAAATATTCTTAAAGTTATCCAAGTACTATCAATCCCAATAAAACAGGTAATAAAATCACGTACCCATTCAACAAATTTATTGAAATCTGTAGTTAAAATTCATGAAAAAATAATCTAATATTATATAATCAAACTTACAAACTTGACATAACAAGAAAAATATATTATAAGGTAGGTTTTGGCTAGCAACTGACAATAACTTACTAGTACTAGTAGAATCAACAAGGTGTATATAAATACATAATATCTGGGAGCTGATTATGTTTTGGCTTTGTATCATGATCAAAGTCACCAGCATGAATAGTCATCTAAGTCACTTGTGGAATAATATATGGATTGAAAACAATAGAATAATCCATATAAAATCCTTCCAACTTGTTTTCATAAACCATTTTGGCATAGTTTTCAAGATTCAAGAGTATATTCACTCAGCTTTATTGCTATCATTGGCACAAAACAATAAATGGCTTGACGTCGAAAATAGTGAATGCCAGTGTTGCTCTTCCTGTAAATCATGTTATCCAGAAAGGTCTACTGTATTGAGTTCTCACACACAACGATACTTATTCAGTAGTAATAATAGTAATTAGTATAATCCAGTAGATAGTACTAGTACAATATAGTTTAATGTGATGTACTCACAGAATAATTGATAATGTTAATAATAATTAAATGAGGTCAAGTGGTCTGTCACATTGCATTCCACTGTTTATTTGATATCAAAATTCAGTTCAGTGTAATTGAGATTTAAATATCTGTGTGGTTTGATAGTGATAGCTTAGTTCGAGGACTCTGCCAGTAAGGGTAACATTATTTAATATTAATTATTACACTGACACAAACAGTATACCTACCACTACTAATAGTGGTAGTACTACAAGTACACGTTACAACTAGTTCTACTTCTAGGTAATACTAAATTAGTACTAGAAACAATACCATATACACTAATACTATAGATTATATTATTAATAATAGTAATAGTACAGTACGAGTATTTCAGTGGTTAGGCTGCAATCACAAAAACTTGAAAAAGCGAAATAATTTTTGAGTCTGACACTGACAGAAAATCATAAATTAGATATTTTTAGCTAAAAGTTAAATGTAATCTTATATAAACCTCCAAGGATACCAGCACCAAGGCTTTGCTGGCTTCTTCTTTTTCCTTCCCATTTTCGTATATTGTATTAATACAAATAGTAGTGCTTCGTTAAAACACGCAAGGACTAATTCTATTACTATGAACAACCTAAAAATCAAAATGGCTACCTTCTACCCTTCATGCGATTATCAATAGATGTCACTTCAGCAATGTTAATAACAAAGCTCTTAACCCAAATTACCCCCAGCTAATAAGTAATTTAGAAATATTAAGAATTAAAAATATAAATTTGGGGCTGTAAAACTATAGACATGTACCATCTAAAATTCTTAAAATTTCCAAAATGTTTGTTTGTTTTAGATAATTTTGTAATACAATAAAATGAAAGTTGTAATCACTTGAAACTATTTTCACGAATATAACACGGAGTTACAACAAAGACGAAACCAACTAAAATAAATATTTAGAAGCAACTAAGCTTCTCGCGTTGTAAACGTTATCTTACATAAATTTTCCTTGTATTTTTGTAAATAAAAAACTGTTTCATTAAAATTTAGGATATGTTACTGCATAAGTGTGAACAGGTGCTTTTTACATATAACCTAATTAGCTGACGAACCCGTTCAAGGCATGGAGAAGTCAGATTCTAATACCGTTCCCCTTATGGGACTCCCCAGAGCTATAATAGCATGGGGAACACATAGAAGCCCCCGGAATAACATAGAGAGACCATATTTGAATGCTGGCCGCTTATGTCACTCCATGGTGGGGGGAGATAAGAGTACATGCCAAGTTCAATTGAAATCGTTATAAAAACTAAAGGCGTGCATACAGTCAGACGGTGACCCTCCCCAACAAGTGACATAGACCGAACACTGACCCTCTTATAAGACTCCACGGAACCCTAAGGGTGTATGCCAAGTTCGGATGAGATAAAAAAAATATAGGCGTGGAAGGCAGATACATACACAGTAGCCCTCCAGAGGGTGTCAGATCCGAACAGCAGGTGACTAAGGATGCATGTCAAGTTTGGTTGAGACTGGTAAAAAAGTGTAGATGTGACAACAGACACACGGGCGACTCTATATAGTTACTCCTTATACATCCTAACTTTTCACAGTGTTTTGATACTTTATTAAGACACCACCTATTACCGCATAAACAGTATGGACTCGGCTTGGCATATGATTCGTAAGGTGCCGAGAAATGTCTTATTCGATTGAATAGACTACATGCCGAAGCATATGCTTACAGTTGGTTCACAGATAATTACTATAATGAAAAAGACGTTCAAGCTCATCTCAAAAATGCTTGATTGTGTTGCGACCTGATTATTTTTGCTGACTAAGAAAGATGAGGGAAGTTACTGCCATACCTTTAGCCCAATTTCAGACAATAAGGACGCGGTGGATTATTCATTGTTATATTGGAAAACTATTGCACATCAGAGTAAATATTATTACGTCTCCGTTCGTTAGTTAATTTTCTGTAAATTCATTCCGACGAAACTTTAACGACTCAAGTCCTTTCTTAAATAAAACTGGTTTATTCTGGTTTTATTTTAACAGTCGCTCTATAACAAACGCTATAACGTCTCACGTGCTCGTGCTCGACAATACTCAGTTCAATTACACACTCTCTGACTGCAGTTCAATTACTCATTGTTCCGTCACGTTGTGACCATCTTATATATATACTAGACTACCCCCAATTTAGTAGTCTCCCGATAATTCACGAAGGTTCGAGATGGAAGTGGCGTGATACTCGTCACGTGACCTCGCTGACGCAACACTGCCCCTCCTTAGTATTGTTCGGGACGAACAATAGCCACTTACATTAAACCAATAGCAATTAACAATAACTTAATTCAATGTACAGAATTACAAACACAAAATTACAATTCAACAAAGTCTCTTAATTTTACGGGACGTATCTTCTTCCGTAATGGTCTCCGTCTCGTTGGCTTTTGCTTCATGTGCGATTCATCTGCTTCATCAGGAAATGTCCTATCGTCAGTAACAGTCACATCAGTGGTAGTAACTTCATCAAGAGCTTCACCGTTTCCCTTCTCAAAACTGAGTAGAGTTTCTTCTTCGACGGTGGCTTCTTCATGTGGCACATCTTCAGCAGCGTCATTTGTTCTGCTGTCCACTTCGTCCCAACTGAAATGTCCTGGACTGTGACAACGCCAAAGCCTGTTGGCATGCACCACTTTTGGCTTACCTCGCCGGCCACATTTTACCCGGAAAGTCACGTCTGAGAGACGATCAACTATGTCATATGGGCCTTCCCATGGAGAAGACAACTTAGGAGACTTCCCTTTGGTCTTCCTGGGATTATACAACCACACCTTGTCTCCTGGTTCAAAGCTGACT